TTTTTTTTTTTTTTTTTTTTTTTTTTTTTTTTTTTTTTTAGCAGGAGAGGTTGTTATTGTTGCTGTTGTGTCCATATTATATGGAACAATGATTGCCAGAACCTACTCCGAAAAGAAGTTAGACTTCTATTTTCCACCCCTAATTTTGTGGAAGAGCACCCCGGGGGTGATCCGAGGGTGTCCATCTCTCCTCACTCCCACCAATCCACTCGAGAGGACTTTCGGCTAACCGCATATTTAGAGTGCCGCCATGCCGCACCGACACTATACATTTATAAACATCTATGTCTTCTCCGGGATTCGAACCCGGGCCCTTTAGTACCGTAGTAGGCTCCCCTAACCACTATACCGTTTGGGCAACAGCAGCAGACTTGAAAAATGTAAATGCTGTCGCCTGTACTCGAGCCCTGCACCTGTCGAATACTCGTCGAGTAGGCTTCCAATTAAACTACGAAGGCACGAGAAAGAAGGGAGAAAATACTTTATAGTATCCCCAGTTTAAAATAAATCTCCTCTTAGTACTGTATAAAATTTAAACTTTGATTAAATGACACTTTATTCTCTACTTCCAGTTAACTGAACTTAATAACTTTATAAGTTGTGCAAAGAATCCATTTATTGTTCGTATTGTAACCATTTTCTCAGGAAGATCTGTCAATCAAATTTTCCATTATACATCAAGCGTCAAATTCAGGATCTTAAATACAATGCCTGGAACTTTTGGTTCCCATTCATAGTAAATTACCACGCCAGACAGGCTGCCAGAAATTGAGGATGGCAGCTTCAAACGCTTCAACACGTTGAGAAGTGAAGATGTAATGAGAATTGGGAATGGTTGCCAAGGGCAACAGCGGCCTAACATCACCTTCCCCTTCCCTTTCTCAAATACCTCATTTCACTGGAATACCCCGCTCCAAAACTTATAGAACCTTCTAAGATTTATTTTCATGACTTTTTTTTTCCTTTTCCGTATTTCTTTATCATTATCGTTGACCTCACGAAATTTTACACGGTCAGAGCCATATTAATTTGTGAAAGGTTGTACTTGTCTGATGCTTTTTTTCTTCGCTTTTTAATGAGAAATAGTTTTATGTCTTTCAACAACTATTTTAAAGAACACCTGCCTTATTTTTTGATTTAAATAAATGAAATTGCTCTTTAAATGCTTGGTACAGAAACTTCTTACCATTACATGAGTGATACAAGTAACTTAGTTCTATTTAATTACTGTTCCATCTTGGATAGTTCGACGGAATTTTGTTCCTTGCTTAAACTGATTTCCTTAAAAAGAATTTTATCTGTTTTGCTAACTGGAAATCTGATCTTGCATATTGTGACAAAAGCTCCCAATAAGCAGCCTCTAGCACTTTGGTACATTGACTGTATAATTTGTTCATAAATTTCCATTTCATTAAATAGTCCAAACAATTTCATAAAATGTCTCTGCCTTTTTCCACGATACAATCAGAAAGTGATTAGAATAAAAGAGTTTGAAAACAGCAGCTGTGGGGAACAGATAGTGAAAAGTAAGCATAATTTTTGTAATGATACGCTGATAAATATAAATATCATTGAGAATATTAGGTGGTCAAAGAAGTTGAATTAATTCGTATACGTGTAGGACATTGGTTACATAGCAAACAGACATGTAGCACAGCAGTTACATAGGATATGTGCAACAAAACAGTTACATAGGATATGTGCAACAAAACAGTTACATAGGATATATGCAACAAAATAGTTACATAGGATATGTGCAACAAAGCAGTTACATAGGATATGTGCAACAAAACAGTTACATAGGAAACAAACGTACAGTTGACGATGTAAAATATCGAAGAGAAATATATTCAAAACTTCATGGAGGGATAGGGTATACAGAATGCTATGCAGTTCTAAATACTCGAAAAACTAAGATACGTGTAGCACAACAGTTACATAGGATACAGATGTATAGTTCAAGATGTAAAATATCGAAGAGAAATATATTCAAAATATACTAGGATATTCAAAATAGATAGACTATAGATATACTAGATATACTAGATATTCAAAATTCAAAAGATATACTAGATATTCAAAATAGATAGACTTCATAGAGGGATAGGGTACACAGAATGCTATGCAATTGTAAATTATTGAAAAATTAGGATACATGTAGCAAAAGAGTTTACATAGGATACTTGTAGCACAACAATTACATAGGAGTAACACAACAGTTACATAAAATACGTGTTGCACAACAGTTACACAGGAAACAGACGTACGGTTTACGATGCAAATTATCGAAGACATGCATTCAAAACAATACTTCATGGAGGGATAGCGTACATAGAAAGCTATACAGCTGTAAATACGTAAAAAATATATGTAATACAAATTCTAAATACTTGAATAGATAATTTAGGTGCCTGATAATTCTACAGTTATGCATAATTTGTAATATGTTATACATGTTTTAAAAGTTGCATGCACTTGATAAATAGCATAATTTCTTAATAATATTACTAATTTACTTATACTTCACGAAACTATGCAATTAAAACTACTTCACATGATTATGATACATGCTCACATGAGACATTATTTCAAAATACCTGATATTCTTTGCAGTTACATATACTTGATGAAATTATGCAATTTTGTGATTATGCAGTTACAGATACAATACAACATTATGTATGATACATATTTACTAGAACTATATTTTAGCAGGTAAGCTTTAATTTCATTCTGATTAAGACAGAATTTACTTCTACCGATCACTAAAGGGCAACCTGTTCTACAAGAGATGCCTTTATGGAGATTTTCTTATGGAAATGTGCATGGAGTCCCAACAAATATGAAAAGCGCCATGAGAATGCATACAACTTGGAGTGGATCTGGTGAAAATGCTGTGGCGTCGTTCGAAAACTTTATGTGTGTGTGTGTGTGTGTATTTAATTATGGCAAAGCACACTAGGGCTATCTGCCTAAGGGGAGGGATGCCTTTCGTGGAGGACTTTCTAAGGGAAACTGGCTCGTATACACGTTACACATGGGGAAAACCACGAAAACACCCATGCAGCCAGCCCGTTCGCGGGATTCGAACCTCGGACCGAACTACCAGTGTTCAGCGACTTTACCGCTCGGCCGCTGGTGGGCCCGAAAACTTTATGTTCTACTGCATTTAAACATTCAAATTAATAAAGCCTTAAAAAATGGTGTCCGTCGAAAACATCGTGGACGAAAACGTCGTGGAGAAAACAATGCCAGCTGAAAACATCATCATACAAACATCTGATCAAAGAAAACATGCTGATTTACATTGTTTAATTTTTAAATCGAACAAAAATATATTTTGTTTTTATTAATTATAAATTTTATGGTGATTTTTTTATCTGTAATTAACTGTAACTTCAGGTTCTCAGTTTATAATAATAAACAAGGTATGCTCTGAATTAGCTCAAGCATTGCGAGAAGTACTTCTAGGTAAATATAGAATTCTCTTTTATCCAATTGCACTACTTTGAACAAAAAATATACTACTTGTTTAAATGATTTCTTTGATGTCCGCCGAAAACATCGCGGACGAAAACGTCGCGGAGAAAACAACTGAAGGCGAAAACGTCGCGGTACAAAACATCGTGGGAGAAAAGAAAGTAAGCAGAACCCATCGCAGGTTCTAAAACACTGCGGTACAAAACATCAGCATTGAAAAAAAGAAAGCGGTTAAAAAACTTCACAGTTTAAAAAATATCGTCTTCGAAAATATCGTGGTAAACAATAAAGCACCTTCAAATCATCGTATGACAATAACATCGCAGACATACATTTTCAGGCATTAAAAATTCACATACACCCATAATGATTTGTGAGCAGAAGAAGGATTGAGGAATATGTTTACTTTTTTACGTAATTCATATTTTTGAATTAACTAATAAATTTGTTCTGAAAAATAAGAAGGGAATTTAAGCATTCAAAAACTGAAAATAAGTTGAAAAATAATGTTAGGTACAGCAGTTACAGAATTTTAATATAGTTAACTAATAAAAGTATTAAATAATGAATTTGTCCTATAAAATTATAATGGTAATTTTCTATAAAAATATATTCTAAAAAAGCTTAGAAAAAGGAATATGTGTAGCTTGTGGTTACTGTTATTAAAATTTTTTAATTAGTTATCAAATTACAAAATTCTGTTTACTGCTATACGTAGCATTAGTATTCTACTCCTTTTCTGTTGTTGAGTGCTTAAGTCTGCTTGTTGATTTATTAGCAAAAATTTATCAGTTACTTTGAAAAATATAAACGTAAAAGTATTTCTCATTAATTCTTGTGCACACAAATGGGAATATGTATTTATAACGTCTAAACCCTCAAAAACGTATGTCTGCCATGTTATAGTCATGCAATCATTTGTGGATGCTTAATTTTTTACGATGATATTTTAACAATGTTTTTAAACTTCGAAGTTTTTGTACCGCTTTAGTTTTACTGATGATGTTTTGTACCACGACGTTTTCGAACTGCGATGTTTTCTCCTTGTTTTCTTTTCTGCCGCGATGTTTTGTACGAGAATGTTTTCGCCTTGTGGTGTTTTCTCTGCGACGTTTTCGTCCGCGATGTTTTCACCTGTAACCTAAAAAATTTGTCTCACAAAGCTTAAGTGCCGTACACTTTGTTAAACCTGAATTCAAGTAAAGTGGAAACTTACGTATGTATGTGCGTAGTATAAGAAGTTATTTTCAAGATGAATGAAAAATAAACGAAATCTGAAGGCTCAGCGAATTTTCATCTTTTTAATATAACTCCTCCACCTCCATTTACGTAAATTCAGAACCAATTTCTTGGCAAATGATGGCGCTTTGCGAAGAAAATACATTTTTCACATTAGAAAGCTATTCAAATTTGACTTTCAAAACTGTAGTTTGCTGCAAAACTTAACTAATATTAAATATATTTAGTAATGTTAAATTATTTAATGTTTTAAATTTTAGCCCTGTTTGTATTTTATACAGGTGAGATACTTGGAGTCTGCGCTGGTGTACTACAGAATGAAGATCTCGCTTTCATCGGTTTATACGTTGTCAAATCGTCCTATCAAAGGAAGGGAATTGGGAAGAGGATTTGGGACACTGTTATGGAGCGAGTTGGGCTAAGGAACGCTGGAGTCAACCCTGTTCCTGAGCAGCTTGCCAACTACCGTGACAGAGCTGGATTTGGTGTCCAAACATCATGGTGTTCTGTTGTATGCGTAGCTAGAGATGTCCTGACTTCCGAACTTTGTACAAATATCCCTGATGTAGAGATTCAGGTTCTGAAGCCAGGTGATGACATCATAGATGAAGTTACACTCTACGATGCCGATGTCTATGGATTCAGTAGACGGAACTTAGTCAAACTGCTCTGCGAAGAAGGAGATTCTATCACCGTGGCAGCGATCAAAGTTGGAGAAAGAAAGGTGTGTGGGTATGGCTGCATAAAAGAAAACATTAAAGGCAATGCCTTGGTTGGACCCTTATATGCCGATGAAACAGATATAGCTGAATTAATACTTTACTATCTAATCAAAGCCTTTCCATTGGCCGAAAGTAGAGGTGTTACTATGACGACGATTGATTGCAACCAATCGGCCATGGACATGACTGAGAAAGCTGGGTTTTTTAAGGAACCAGGCATTGCTAGATTGTATACAAAAGAAGAAGTTAATGTTAAATTTGAAAAAGTTTTCGGTCAGCATAATCTAAATTTTTCTGTATTTTGAAAAATTAATTGAAGCTGAAGGGATTTTTTGAGCGTCCTGTTAATGACCGAAGCGCAATATCTTAAGAAGCACACCTGCATTATATTCGATATATATATATACTGTGGTTCCAAAATGTTGTATGTATTTTTAAGTAGGAAATGAAGATATTACCATGTGGTATGGTTTTTATTTACAAAAGAACTTGTAACGCTATAGAAAACTTTAATGTGAAAATAATATACAGAAAAGATGTTATATGTTTAAGAATTTTTATATGTTTGCTGCTTTTTTCATTCATATGTTCAAGAATACATTATTGATTTTGTAACGTCTTTAATAAAAAGCATTTATATGTTGTAAAATATGGAACTTATAATCCACAACTTTCATTAACTCGAATGATAACCTTCAACCTAAAAGATTATATAGAAATTCAACTACATTTGGATAACATGTTACCAATTGTACAAATAAAAGGGGAGAAAAAATTCTGCTTTACCTTGCTAGAAGTTTTTTTCTATTGCAAAATTGCAGTCATAAGTGGAGGACCACTTCGTGGGAATTAATTTGTTAGTTCTATCTAATTAATTAAAAGAAGTGTTTTGTTCTGAAAGTTTCTGGTAGGAAGAAGATACACTTCTAAAACGCCTTTTTTTCGAAGTTGATAATAAATAGACGTTCTTAAGTGGATAATAATGGGTTTTAATTACTGTTCGTAATGTCGCAGGGTGAATGTCGTGAAGGTTAGTAGAAGGTAGTCAAGAAACACTGGTTGAAATGGTCAAAATTACAAAAAGGGACGTATTTCTTTAAGGTCGCCAGAATAATAACTTTCATACCTTCAAAAGATAAGCAACGTAGGAAGGATCATTTAACTGAGTTTTATTGTGAAAATGAAAGATAAGGGCCGGGGCAATATTTCCCGTCATTTTCATTTCCTCGTGTAAGTAAACCACTGGTTAGCTGGAAACAGAGGGCCCGGAATTTAGGTGGGATGTTCGAAAGTTGGACAGCAGAATTTCGGATTGTTAAATTTAAAGTAAATCATTAGCCTTAAAGATAATCCTTACGTAAGAAAAGCAAAGAATTATTGAATTTGAAAAAAATTCTGAAATATTGTCAAAAGAAATATATTCCGCGTTAAATAATTAAATCGGGAAATAGCTTAGTAAGTAAATAAAAAAATTCCTTACATTCCTAAAAAATTGTAAAGGTTAGGGCCTGTAAGAAGAATGTTGCGAGATAAAGATAAATTAATCACTCCCGGGAGAATTCCCTTGTACGAAAAAAAGGAAATTGTAACGAAAGGTGTGCATTAAGATAGGGAGGTATATTGTGCAATGATGCATCAAAGCAGGCCTAAACTATAGGTGCTTTACGAAGGACACAATAAAAGGAGTAAAAAATTCGCGAAAGGTTGTTAGGATCTCGCATAACTCAGAAAACTAGTAGCCTCAGACCGAAATTTTGTATATAGGATTGCTCATGTAGATGTGATAACGGTACATGTATTTTGGATGCACCAAACGTATCCAAATTTATATATATCCACTCTGTTACAAATCAGTGATCTCAGTTTCTTCATTATATGTTGTAAAACGTGCATTTTGCTTAAAAATAGGAAAATGCTGTACAAGAATTGATGATAATTTTAGCTTGTGCTATTTGAATGTTATTGCAAGCATTTAAGTTTTTAAGTACCGCCCTTTTTTTTTTTTTTTTTTTTTTTTTTTTTTTTTCGGCGGCTATGATGTTTGCATTTGAAACAGTAGACTAGTTTTTGCTTTCTAAGAGAAACAAACAAAGTAGCTACGTAATTGAGGGAAAATGTTTAAGATTTTTAGGAAATAGCGAAATAGATTTTTAGAATATTTCTGCAAAAAGTGAGAACTGAATTCATTGAATGAAAGAAATAACACGTCGTAAAAGTTTGTTTTTTTTTTGTTTTTTTTGCTTAATTTTGTGGCATTTGTTGTTTGAAATAGAACATGTGGCAATGAATTCTATAAATGAACGAAAATAGTTAAATGTAACCTGAATCTAAGTGAACGAAAATAATACTGTAGTGCAACGATTAATAATTGCATTTATTCTATTGTAGGTATGCGAGAATATATAATAAGTGAATGTAGTTTAAATGAAATATGCAAGAATAATATATTTTCGGATAAGTACAAGTAAAGGAAGTTTAAATGTGGGCAAGAATCATAATGCGTATCTTTTAGTATTCCGAAGGAAGTCCTGGAAATCAGATTTTTTCTGAGAAGAAGAAATCTAGAGAGAGACATGCCGAGAAAATAAGAATACGTGGTAAGTCTATTTAACATCAAAATAAATGGCGACTTATTTTGTCGACAAATTTGGCGACCATTTGGCGACATTTTGGACTGGTCTTTATATCACCGGAATAGGTATTGTTGCTGAATAACTCTAATTTAACTTTATGTAACTGTAATCGCATCCGACCGTCAAATGCCTTCCAGTAATTTCCGAGAAGCAGGAAATACTAGAAATATCTCAACGGCAGCGTGGAGACTATATAACAACGGAGGAAGAACCGCATTTTCAGTTGCTGTTAGTTGCTTAGTTCAGTGCAAGTTTGAAGTACTGAGATATCTCCGTGTTAGCTCCGGTCTTTAGATGTGCTTTGCCTTGTATTGTGCTGAACGTTTTTAGTAATTTGAGGTGCTACTGCCGATTGTGCTCTGTGATTCTGTGAAGAATTGTATGACTATGTTTTTGTGGAAGGTTCCAGAACTATGAAGTGTTTACTTTGATAAAATTAATTTTGTCAACCTATCATCTGACCTGTGTGCATTCAATCTATTACGAACCTGAAAGCACGTAACAGTATATATAGATAGTATGCCTATTGTTATTTTTGTATTATTCCTATTGTAAATAAAGTAACAGAGCACATTCTTTAACAAGCACATATATTTATTGATTACATTACAGTACATCTGCAGCATTCAAATATGTTCAAGTGTAGGTTTATATTACAATATATTTGCACCATTTAATCTTGTTCCGTGAGCAACAGTGCACGGGTTATGCATTATATTCTATTATTATAGGTTACAGTTAACTGCTGAGCAAGACTTTCAGTAGAAAATTATAAATTATTCGATTTAATTTTAAATTTCTCAAGCTTCCAAACATTTCGTTTCCAGAATTATTACTCGTTTCAGAAAAGAGTTTAAATTAAGAAAACGTTTTTCTCGTCTTCTGAAAACGTGAAAGAAGAAAAGAAAAAAGAAAATTTGAGAAAATTCTTTTGTTTCTAAATTTGTGTTATTTTTCAAACTTAATGTAAATCTTTTTGAAACACAAAAGTACCAGTAATAACGGGATCATAGGGATAATTAATTTAACCGTGCTGCTTGATTCCTTAAGATCCTTTTATTTCCGAATCTTCCAAATAAAAACTTCTATTACATCATCATACATTTTTCAGACTCTAAAGGTGTGATAAGCACATTTCATTAACTCTAAACTGTACATATAAGAAATGGTAACATTAATATTGTTTCTCATTGATTTACACTTGCAAAAAACTCGTATAAATTCATTTATTAACCAAAAATATTTCTTCTTTTAATTCAATCACGGTTTCTTTTGACATTTTTTCACTAAAATTAAAAAAATGTTCCAGTAGAAATACTGGCATCATTTTAAATCAAGAAATTTATTAAATTTAATATAAATTTTAGTTGACTACTGCAAAATGCGTCATTTCTATACGCAAGACGAGCTTTTGCTGTCAAAATAAAGCAACAAAATTCCAGTTCATATGTTTCATATTCAAGAACGAAGAGTAAATACAGTGAAAACATTTATGCTATGTTTTATGCATTAAAATCACATTTGATAGCCTTTAGCTGCATTAGTACTTTCAAATACGTTATTAACTAATTTGCCGCATAAGTCCTTTTTATTTCCTTTTCCTTCCTATCTTATAGTGTTGTAGAGTCATTAAGTTATTTTTGAAGTAGGAAACATGGAAAATGAGCAATGCCGTGGCCGGGTCTCGAAACTAAACATCTCCAATACGCGCTGCTACAGTTACACCAGAAAGACATGCAGAAAGGAGAGTGTAAATACCTTATAGTGTGGCTTAAATGGTCGGGTGAATATGAAATCGTGTCCATCAGCTCTGTGATAGATTGGATAATGCCATCTAGTTTCTTTGCTGATACTACTATAAAACTTTCAAAGCAATTCATTTCTGAAATGTTAACAGACTACAGAAAAATATTCATACATATTTTTTTTTTATTTTCCCCTAATCTTATTTTAAAAAAAAAAACGTATACAATTCAATTAATATGGTAATACATGCAGCTTTCCATCCTTTCGTCGAAGCACTTGGGTGATGACACCAAATTTACACAAATGCTTTGGTCGAGCCATCATCGCATATCAACACCACTAATGGATTCTTCTTCGCCTCTTGCACTGGATTGAAATTATGATGCGATCTATGATCCATCAGATAGCAGTTATTCCATGCTTTCCACAGAATAGCGAACATATAGAAAATGTATTGAGTGTAGAGTCAATCTATTCATCCTATATATGTTCGCTTTTTGAAGATTCTTTCTAATTCCAATTTTATCTGGTGGCGAAGATATAACTTTCTTCAATGGCAGAACGTCCATATCATAACTGTTCTGCTTCACTTACTTGGCTAAATAGATACATCAATGGCTTGGACTTAAGTATCGCTTCTTTTCCATAAAGATTGTTGATTCCAATCCAGCTCTTCTAAGGATCTCCTTCAGACAATGATTCTCACACGTCTTTTGAAAACTTCCTTTTGGCGATTTTTTCCTAATGAATTTCTGTTCTACGTTATTTCTTTCAAAGTAATATGAAGTCATCTTTGGTTAGCTGACAAAGATCTGGAACTCCTTGTCAGCTTTCTGAAATAATTTTGCGTTGCCCTAATATATTGTATTTATAAATTCCATGCTTATCAATTAATCTTATATATGCAAGGAGGAATACAGAAGTCATCAGATCAAAGACAATCCAAAGTGGAAAGGGCATGTCAGTGCATTTAATAACAATGCAGTATGCATCTTCTCTTTGTTTCTAGTACACAAAGATTTAAAAAAATACACACGAATTGCAAAAGCTATAGTTTCCCTAATTCAGCCCACTGAGAAAGAGATCATATCATGGTAGTATGGTTTTGTCGTCGTCTATCAGCATATACCACAGCTATTGATGACACCCTTTACTCTCTGTATTTCCCTGATAATCCACAGTCAACTTGCGTATGAGTCTCTGCTGTTCTTTTGCTCCCTATTCTTGGATTCTTCAATTTCTAAAACATAAATCCAGTAAGGTCATAAAACGCGCCTTTGGAGTCCTCAGCTCTGCATTTTATTATCTTCTACCAACTCTGAGGATCTTTCTTGATCTACAAGGATTGGATAAAAGTAGTGACAATAAGTGAATAATTTTGAAAAGACGTTGTTTATAACTGTAGCTACAAATACTTTACAATCTAATCTCCTGTCATGCCTACTATCTTCGGTGAAATTTCTGGAAAGTGGACACGGTGGTTTCGTACATCACCATCGTGTCCATTTCTGCTAATATTCCACAGAAAACACCAACAGTATAGATAACATTCTCCTCTACTGTTCTGAAGGTTCCTTTGCAATGGTTCTTCTATTTTTATGGAACTTTCTAAAGTCAAAAACGATTTTCTGTTCTACAGGGCCAATTTGCTACAACCTCTTCTTTAATTTATTTTCTCTTTATTAAATTTTTATCGTGATCTTTATTTCTAAATTTCGTCATTTTCTTTCTTCCTTAAATTATCATTTAGGTCTATCCACTAGGAAACCATCTTTCTTTGCATGTTTTATTATCATCCATGTCAGCTGGAATTTCTTCTCGAGGAGAGGAATTCAAAGTCGGGTGAATTCTCTTGTATTTCTTCGCTCGATACTGAATGAATCATTTTCGTCTTTTAAATCATATTTCATCCAATGTATCGTCACAGAAGAGATCTGCCCGAAAGTGTATATTCCTCTTGTTCCTGCTTCCTGTTGTTGTCTTATATTTGAAACTAATCTTGATGCAATGAGTGTTCGTATAAGTTGTTGTCTTGGAAGGATAATTCCTTAAGTGCTGTCAATCTGGTTTTATAAGTTATGAAACTTCTTCCTATTTCCCCGTTCTTTGTGATATAGTTGAGATATATCATAGTTCCGTGTTCAGCTTTGCTTCCATTGGTGAAATAATACATTTGAACAACCTGCAAATCAGCCTTACTGTTCCTTCAGAAATAATGTGGCGATATTTTTATATCTTTAATAGCTGATAGTTCATTAAAAAGTTGTCTCATTTGAAGTCCAATGGCAGTAAGCTGTCCGATCTATATTATATTGCCAAATGTTTTGCATTAGTATTTTTGCTCTAACAATGAATGGATTCTAAAATCCTGAGGGATCGTAAATTTATCCTCTTGGAAAGGATAATTCCTTAAGTGCTGTCAATCTGGTTTTATAAGTTATGAAACTTCTTCCTATTTCCCCGTTCTTTGTGATATAGTTGAGATATATCATAGTTCCGTGTTCAGCTTTGCTTGCATTGGTGAAATAATACATTTGAACAACCTGCAAATCAGCCTTACTGTTCCTTCAGAAATAATGTGGCGATATTTTTATATCTTTAATAGCTGAGAGTTCATTAAAAAGTTGTCTCATTTGAAGTCCAATGGCAGTAAGCTGTCCGATCTATATTATATTGCCAAATGTTTTGCATTAGTATTTTTGCTCTAACAATGAATGGATTCTAAAATCCTGAGGGATCGTAAATTTATCCTCTTGGAAAGGATAATTCCTTAAGTGCTGTCAATCTGGTTTTATAAGTTATGAAACTTCTTCCTATTTCCCCGTTCTTTGTGATATAGTTGAGATATATCATAGTTCCGTGTTCAGCTTTGCTTGCATTGGTGAAATAATACATTTGAACAACCTGCAAATCAGCCTTACTGTTCCTTCAGAAATAATGTGGCGATATTTTTATATCTTTAATAGCTGAGAGTTCATTAAAAAGTTGTCTCATTTGAAGTCCAATGGCAGTAAGCTGTCTGAGTCTATATTATATTGCCAAATGTTTTGCATTAGTATTTTTGCTCTAACAATGAATGGATTCTAAAATCCTGAGGGATCGTAAATTTATCCTCTAGTTTTAAGAGCTTCTAATAGTTCATATTTCACCATCCTTTGTGATATATCTCAAATACTTTAGAGCTCCATACTCATTTTAGTTTGTCTTATCTGTCAGTGAGATTTTCTTTACTTTGCTTGCAGCTTGATTAATCAAAATTTGTGACTCGATATCAAAACATGTTGCCTTATAATTCCATTTATATCGTAATCTCTTCTGCTGTGGAAGATTCTGAATTATCTGCTTTATTTCATCATTTTATTAATAAGATGTTTGATATTTTGAGCAAACAGAAACGAGCTCACTATAGTACAGAAACGAGCTGACGATAGTACAGACACGAGGTGGCTATAGTACCAAATAAATTACGAATGGTGAGCAGTTTCGAGTACGATTCTGTTATTTACCTTTAAAAGTCTCACACCTTCCATGTCTTTGGGTGATAAAGAAATCTGAAGAAAGGTTAGTCCGATATTGGCAATGAATGTTCTCAAGGTTATATCAATAAACGAGGATTTAAAGTAGGATAGGAGAAAGACATTCATTCAAAGAGAATTGCGTTTTCTGAGCTGCGTTTTCGAGCTCATTTCGATAAATTGTTTTCAGCTATACGCATTTTCAGGTACTATGATGTCCGATACTGCTAATGAAACAGTGGATCATTTCCCGTGTTTTAACGAATTCGGTAACGTGCATTTTGTTATTTACATAGTTCGATTTCAAATCGGATGAATGTCCTTTTCAAGGTCAATTTGACCTCAAATCTCCCTTCTTTAAATTTGGCTGTTTGATTAAAATTAAAAGGTATCATTTTCTAATTTATCAATATCTTTTCTTGTTCAACTTCCAGTTCTTTTAGTTCCAAAAATATTTCTCGTAAGGCCAAATACTTCCCCGACTTAATTTTTCCTTAATCTGACTTACACCTTCCTTAGAGACTTCACAATTAATGCTATAACTGCAGAAGGGGTCTGTATTCCATTTACTTCAAGTTTCAATAGCAACAAAAGTAAACTTGGATAATATGTGAATTTTCCCCTTTAAAAATCTTTAAATAGGTATCTGGTTACTCTTTCTTTAAACAGATATCTGGTTACATTAATAATGCTTTAAATGATTTCCGGTTATCGAAAACGCAGATAAATTGATCGCTAGTTTTGTTTGTAGAAATGCTAACACATTTCTGTTATTCCTTTATAAGGATGTCATACAAATGCTCCAGCAATGACTTTGACTACTAAAGTTTCAAATTCAATTTTTATTTCCAGATCGTTGGAATTCTATTAAACTACCGTAACTTTCTTTCTCCCTTTGTTAATGTCATTGATTAATGCACTGTAATACCTTCTGCACTAGCTATGAGAAAATTAAACGCTATTAAGAACTAATATATGCTGGCTTTAGTTGCTTAGTAAATAACTTAATTTGTTTATTCTTTTTTTTTCTTTTAAATGAAACAAGCTCCGTTTTTAATACAATGCTCGAAAAAACGGATGCTTTCAGCAATAGAATTAACTCTTTCGCATCGATAGAGGCCAAAATCTGTTTCTCTCAAACATCTGAAATGCCCAGGTATACAAATTTCTGTTGGAATGGATTTCCTACCCCTTGCCAAGTAGGATGCTACAGAGTTAACAGTAACCTACTTAAGTGAAACGATTACTTCTCTCTTGGAGATCCTTGTGCAGTTTCACCCATTGCGTACAGTTTACACGACAAAACTGCAGCTGCCAACATGAATAGCTAAATGTTGACACTAAAGAAATGAGAAGGAAAAGATGCATTCAAATAAGAAAACTACTTCAATATTTTCAAAAGAATGATTGGCTTATCATTTAAGAACTCCTTAAACCATTAAGCTATGCGCTGGCGTGATCAGGAAGAGCACCAAGTAGAATATGGACGCAGGCTTTGGGGCGACCTACCGATGTCTGAATGCACGGACGTTTCGAGCTACCTCGATGTGAAAGAGTTAAACAAGCTTTTCTAAATCGTGACTATCTCGGTTGGTCCAAATCATATTTTCCCGAAAATTACTTCACCTATCAGCCAATTATTATCTGATCTCACTTTCATACATCTTTGCTCAGATCACTTCAAACTTGCCCACCTGTCGAAAGGATGTCTCTTTGATGACTCCCATTCTGCAGACTACTTTTTGGTTCTACAGTTTATTATCATGTAATAGACTGCAGAAGTACTGCTCCGCAGATTACCACTGTATAATATTGCGCGTAATATGATGCTGTAGAAGTTATTAATTTAAAATAAGGCCACAAATTATTATTATTTAAATAACATTTTACTATAGGAAATATTGTACTAATAATGTTTTTCTCCTAAATTAAAGAATCGCGTTTTAAAGAAGGGAAAAACTTAAAAAGCTTAATTAACTTTGTTACTTAGATTTTAATTATTTTCTTCTTATCAAATGAACTATTACATATTATATAAAATGTATATATAATAATTCCAGCTTTTATTGGGAATATTGCGAACGCTGTTAGTTTTAAGGCTTCCAAAAAAATATAACACAGTAGCAGGAAAACTGATAAAAACCAAGCGAAAACGTAAGAGTTAGGCACTATACCTTCAAAATAAGTACTTTGAGACCTTTCCAACTCTCCCTCACATGCGATCATAACACATCGTTATCAATGCACAGCATTAAAGTTTTCATTTCATTTGAGATTGTATTTCAAATCAGCCTTCATTATTGCGCTTTTCACGAAGTGAAACGCGCTAAACGGAAATGAACTGGGAGATAAACAATTAAGGCAGTTCACCAGCTGTCCCAGCTGTCGTTACTGTGGATACGAGATAAGCTGGTGGGGTAAATGTCTTTGAAGTGCCTATTCTAAATTAATAGATATTGTGATGGGATAAGGAGTGAAAGGAAAGTAAAAGAAACTGAATGCTCCCGTTTCATCTCCCCTTCTCGCACGTTAGACCGAGATGAGAGACAGAGGGAGAACAGGGGGACCGGACGTTCCTCAGCAAAAGTCAAGGGGCGAGGAAAATTGGGCTAAATGTTATTTGGGCGAATTGGCATCTAATTCTTTGGAATGAAAACATCGTCTTGAGACAGATTTATTGTTGAAATAGGCTTCGCAAATAGCAATATGATGCCGATGTTTGAAGTTCTGGCATGCTAAACAGTTAACTCTCTTCCTACATGATTTTGCTAAATGTCCTGTTTTCAAACAAAGGAAGCATCTTCCGTTACGTCTCAGGATATCTTTCCTTTCATCGATATTTTTATCGCAGTTTTCAAAGACATGTTCCGTATTTTGACAAAAAATACAAGATTTTTCTGCCACGTTTGAAACTGGTGTATAAGAGGTACTAGTTTCCTTAAAGAAAACATTTCGATTTCCCAGCCTATCACTCATATCATAATTTTTCTCTAATGAGGGTTGACCGTCCGTTTCGCTTTCACTTGGTGTATTATTTTTCATAAAAAGTATGGTTTTCTGTCTCTTTTCTACTTCTGTTATGAGAATATCAATTATCTTCGAAAATTTCCAATCTTCGTCTGATCCGCATTTTCTAGTAATTTCTAGGATAATATCTTGAGGTATTAATTTGATTATCATGGGATATAATACAGATTTAAAACTACCTGAATCTCTGCATTTACTATCTAAACTGTGAATTTCCGTTTGACAGTAGTCTAATAAAATTTTGAGGAGAGAGACGTTGGATAATTTTATAGTAGATGCTGGATTCAGCAGCTTACTTGAATTAGATTTATCAACTAATGTTTTCTTCCCAAATCTGTCTTTTAAGGTTTCTATAGCTGCTTTGTAATTGCTGTCTGTGAGAGGAAATTCTTTAATTGCATTCGCAGCAGATCCAGTTAGATATGAGTGTAAATATTTGAATTTGTCTTCGTTAGATATATTTTCATTTGTGTGGATGGTAGATTCAAACTGGTCCCAGAATTTCTGCCAGTCAGCACGATCTCCATCAAATTTTGGTATTTTAAAAAAGGGTAATGTTCCAGGCTGTTTTTCTTTAACTGCAGATACCTGCAATAATCTTAGCTTATTTGCTTTGCGTTTAGCAATAGCTGTTTTTAAATTACTGATGCAAATGATTAGTTTTTCGTGATATTCATCACATATTACAATTTCAGATTTTATTTCTCTAATATCTGTGATCTGATTTTGAATTGCAGAGTTTATTTCTTTTAATTGCTTCTCTTTTAAATTTATTTGTACCAATAATCTTTCTAACTCCTCTTCTTCTGTTTCATTCTTCAAAATTTTTGTTTCAATTTTAGAAATCAATCTTGTTGTCAGAGATCGAAGCGTCACTCGCTTTGCCTTGGCTATTTCCATTTCGAAATAAAGAAATCTTTTAAATCTTTAAAATCTTAATCTTTTAAATCTATTTAATCTTTCGAATTATCTAGATATCTTCGCTTAGCCACATTTCTGTTCCAGTTCTACATTAAACAAGGGGAGTTAGAAACACAAAAATAAAATTCCTCAAATTCCATAGCGTACTCTGTTTGGATGCCATATAAAAAAATTATGCTGAATTCGCTCGTATAATTATGTTCAAGCATTTTTAAAAAAATAAAAGTATCATTTTATAACTTCTAACATTTTTTATTTTCTATCAGATTTAATTTTTTCAAATTTATTTCCAATTGTAAATCATATAATTTGTTCCGAACACCTTTTGCGGTTACGTAAGCAAATATCGTAATTGAAGTAATATTATCCTCATCTCTAAACTGCACAAAAACTGATAATCATACCGATCTATTAATTTCATTCTTTGGATACGTCCATATCATCCGCTTGTCTCATTTTCTGAACCTGTAGAGAAAAAGAATTATTAATGTTTGTAAAAATTTCTTTAAAAATTGTAATATGTAAATGAAAAGCAAATTCATCGTCTAAATGCCATAAATATCTATATTTCCATCATTCAAATTTATTAAAATGATCAATGGCTCATTTCGTAATCGTAGTATAATGCATTTTTTTTTTCAAAGTATTCACTTGTTACTTATGAAAATTGCCCAGTTACTTTGAATACTTTTTATGGAATATATTTTTAAATTTCAGAGCAGTCTTTCGTTTATTTAAAAGCAGTTTATCAAATAATAGGAAAACATCTCATTCAGTATGTAGAATAATTAGCTGACGATGACATGAGAGCTATTAGTTTATGCACTACAAGCACAGTCCGGGGAAGCAGCAAACAAAGTCAACAATGCCCAAAAGCAATGGTAATGAAAAATCATCAATACCTTCGCCTGGATTCGAGGTCCGGACCTCCCAATTGCTAGTCACACGTGCTTCCAATTACACCATGAATGCACTTGGCAAAAAAGGAAAAAATACCTTATAGTAACATATATCCCCTATTTTAACGTTCATTACCCATATGCCGATTCGCCTGTATGAAAAACCTAAATTAGAATAATTTTCTGATAATAAAAGCATAAAAAAACATTTTTGAATATATAAAAAACATTTTCGATAAAAGATAAAACCTGAAAAACCTCATTAATAGTTTGTTTTAGGCAGAAACTGTTAGAAAAGTATCATTTTAATTATACGAAAAGAAAAATACGTTTCAGGTCTGCTTACCCGCAGAATATAAAAAATTTCTCGAGAAACCTTGAGGATTTTGCTGACGAACTCAGCGCAAATTACCCCCCTTGACTTACCAGTTATATCCTACCGAGTGCTTAACCTTTTGAGGCCGGGGCTTTGGTAGCAATAAAAGCTACCAAAAGACGGGGAATCTTGAACCGAATGTTTTCCCCCCTTTCAGAAACCACCTTCTTTTTGCAACAAAGATTCTTGTGTGCAGTTTAATGGATTCTGAGAGGGGTGCATCTAAGTCGCAAAAGGAAGACCTTTGAAAGAGATAAGTGTTTAACCATAGGGACGTCAAATTTGACATTTCACCCCACTTTTCAGCCTGGAAAATGGGGGTAGGAAAAGACATGGCCACTAAAGTGGACAAACCAGTCTTTTCAATGAGAGGACTCTATGCCACTATAATGGCCATCCCGTCTTCAAAAGGTTAATATCATATTCTAATGTATTCCGAAGATATCTTCAGTGGGTTCCCTAGACACTGTACGAGGTGTTATGAGGACTGGAACTAAGGCCTACACATCTTTCTCAACGCTAAATGTCACATCCTAGTGTACCGCCAGACATCCTCACTAGAACTCTGACTAAAATGACAAGCTAATCTGTAGCTGAGAGAGAGAGAGAAAGTATTATGATAATCATCCAATGTAGCTTTTTAACCTGAAAAGGGAAGTCTCTCATCACATCATGTTGACCGCACATGGTACTTCCGCGGGATTCGCAAATGTATGCATCTTTTGTTCCACACATTTGTGTAAAACTGTACATAATTTTACACAAATGTGTGGTTACAAACCAAGGAAAAGTTAACTTATTGGCATATCTGTGTATATATTTATTAATTTTGACGACATTTTGACGACCATTGCAGCATTTGGTTGTAATTTCATTTCTTAATTAACCCATATACGTAATTAAACCAAATAAGTAAAAAGTGTAAACCTAACGTGATTATTTTTTCAGTTATATAGAAATAAAGTGATGAGTTTAATATAAACAACTATAAAGCCTCTCCTCTAAAAATTTTTAAAAGGTACACGTTACAATAATATGCGGATCACAAAAAATTTATTTTATTTATAACATTTTGGCGTTTGGATCATAAAAGTAGAGAATACTCTATCAAGGGTATCGAAAGACGTAGACAATTTTAAATGTACCGTAAGGTATTGTTCCTTCTTTAAGCATAACATTTTTCCTAAAATCTATATTTTTGTAGTTGAACAGCTTAGAATTTTATAAAACAAATTCATAATCAAAATCACTGTTGTTATTTATCGAAAAATAACCAAGATGTGATTTTTGCGTAAATGTCATTAAACTATACAAATCACTATTATCCATCACACTATGAATGTTTCTTTCATGCGAAAGTGTCCCGTTTTTCGATTTGTAGGGAGCTGTCGTGTGTCGAAATACTATCAGAGCATTGTCAAGTAAGCTTCTGAATATAAACAAAAAACACCCCATCTGGTGACCGAAGCTTCGGAGCAGTGCTTCACTTCTAGTGCCGATTGGGCCACTCCTTCCTTTTTTACCTCCATGGTGCTGAGGGGACTCTTCATTAATTCAGGCGGAAAGAGGAATGCTCAAAATGTTCTTGTTAATACTTACCATTTTGACTCACAGAGAAAAAAAAAAGCTGAGGCCCGCCTTATGCTACCGATACATTTATAGATCAATATTTTAGTTAATTTTAAAAAATAATATTTCTAATAGTCTTATTTACTCACATCCTTGTTTCGAAGTGTAACAATAAGAAGAAACAAATTTGAACTTACGGAAATCTACGTTCAAACGTCCAGAGTTTAAAGGTCCATCCGGGTATGTATCAAAATAAGCAACAAGCATTAATAACAGCGTTTTGGTTTCCATGATAAGACGAAGAATGTTTTTAGCTAATAAGCGATGATACTTTTATACCCTCAAATTGGAATTATAATGAAAACTCAACATGACAAATCACTTTTTAAAGATGCTTTTTCACGATATATGTATACATGATAAACACAAAGAAACATAACATAGACAAATTCAAGGCCGGTACTAATACTTCGACCTTCGTTACCAAAAAACACAAGTCATTTTTTTTAGATTGTTGTATTTTTAAAGGGCTAAAAATTCTGCTCTGAAAATTTATTCATCTTAGAAGGTATTTGTGCTCTGTTTCAGAAATGCATATAAAAAACAGTTTCTCTACTAGAAGACAATAATTTTTAGAAAAATACACTGAAAACTAATTATATTTTATGATATATATATATAATAATTAACTAATTATATTATAATTTATATATAAGTCATGATATGAATCCAATCGTGACTTTTGCTTCAGTCCAAATGCAATGCACTGGTAAAGCATGAAAATAAAATAAGCAAAATTAATACCTTCCTGTTTAAGGCGATTGGGATTACGGGATCTATTCGCCAAATTCTGGGGGTGACGAATTATTGTCCACCATCTTTTAGTTCGGGTGTCACTTTGGAGTCATTTAGAATTTTTTAATGTCAGGAAGCTGAAAAAATCCGCAATGCTTTCGCTGGAATTCAAACTCCAAACCTCCCGATTACACCTGAAGCGGGCTTCTATATGGTAGACCATCTACCTTTTCGAATTTGAATCTATTAAAAAACTAATTTTTTTTTTTTCAAAATTATGAGTATATTAGAAAAATTGGACATTTTCTTTTAAGAACCAAACACAAAATCATTCAAATGACCGTCACGGCTGGCTTGACAGTATAACATCCGATCAACCCAATTTTTTAGTACATTTTCTATTGTTTGCGCTCCAGTCGCATGAATGACAACTTCCATTTCGTGTTTCAAGGCATCAGTCGTCTCTGAGTGGTTAGCGTAACTTGTCCTCAAGGGTTCTCCACACAAAAGAAAAATCCAACGGGGTCAAAGTGATTTTTGGTCCTGCGGCATTACTGGGCCATTGTTCTTCGAAAATGAGCAAGGAACCGCCGTTACCGTCAATAGAGAACGTTACCATGTCATGCTAAACGAATTTTTGTTTACAAGAATTGAAGAGGATGATATGGATGACATGTGGTTTCAACAGGACTTTCACTTGCCACACAGCCAAAGTAACCATCGATCTTTCGAGTACTGTTTTTGAAAATCGAATAATCAGCCTAAATGCTGATTGTTCGATGATGTCAATTGGCCGCCTCAGAGCTGTGATTTGACCCCCGTTGGACTTTTAGTCCAAAGGGGCTCTGTCCCTGAAGGACTATTGTTTTCGTTTTGCGATTTTGCGTCGGACTCATTATTTTTGCGTTCGGTTGGTCCGTTTCACTTTTCAAACCGTTTCCACCAAATATTAGAGTCCTGCGTTATATTTGATGAAATCAAATAATGAAAAATCTGCGTAAATGATTGTGCATATTTATCGCATTGTGATTAAACAATGGTACATAGAGACATCGAATTTCGAATGGCGTAATTCTACTGCGAATATGGGCATCTGGAAGTCCGAAATTTGAATTGTTTTATTATAGATTTTATTTTGTAAAACTTTAACGAATTTTTTATTTACAAACTCAATGCTTTAAAAGCGAGAAAATGGCAACGTTATATAGAAAAAAATACTTTTATCTCCAGCTCGCGAGACTGTGTATATCGGAATTCTAAAGATATGCTTAATTTAACATTATTTTGCGATATTGCTCTTGAACTGAATTGTATGGTTTAAGTGCAAAGAACATGATATTTAATAAATAAAGGTAACACTCAAAACGTTAAAAAAACGCCCCTTTGGACGTAATTTAAAATCTGAAACATTTCAGATTTTTTTTTTTTTTTTTTTTTTTTTTTTTTAGTCCAAAGGAATTTGAATCCCGAAGGACTTATTAGTTTCGTTTTGGCATTTTGCGTCGGACTCATAAATGTCGGTTCAGTTTTCAAACTGTTGCCACAAAATGTTAGAGTCCTGCATTATATTTGAAGAAATTAAATAAAGAAAAATCGGCATAAATGTATGTATATTTCTCGTATTGTGATAAAACACGGTACATAGTGTCATCGAATTTTGAATAACGTAATCCTCCAACGAATATGAGCATGTGGAAGACCAAATTTCAAATTTGAAATTTGTTTTTATGATCGATTTCCTGTTTTTAAAACTTTGACGAATTTTGATTAACAAACTCAAGGATTTCAAAAGCGAGCAATGGCAACGTTGTGCAGAAAAACATTTTTATCTCCAGCGCGTGAGTCTCTGTATCGGAAATTCGGATATTCTAAAGATATGCTCGTTTTAAAACTATTTTGCGATATTGCTGTTGCACTGGATCTTATGGTTTAAGTGCGAGGAACATGATATTTAATAAAGAAAGGTAACACACAAAATGTTAAAAAACGCCCCTTTGGACGTAATTTAAAATCTGAAACATTTCAGACTTTTTTTTTTTTTAAACCCTTAACCACTTGCACTAAAAAAGACGTGCCACGCACGTCAAGATGCTTTTGTCTCAAACCGAGAGCGACGTGAACACCACGTCGATAGGCATTTATCGCAAAAATGAAAATAACGTGGTGCACACGTCGCCTAACAACGAGATTGTTTATTTCTCGAGTTACAGCTCTGGATTGCAATCGCAGACGCGGAGCGGCGTAAATGAGACACTTTACCGCTTGTTATATTGTAGCGCACGGCACCGTAACCTTGAAGTTTAGTCGTAGAGCAAGTGGTTAAGGATAAGTGTTACGCTAACCGTCCAGAGACGACTGATGCCTTGAAATACGAAATCGAAGTTGCCATTCATGCGACTGGAGCCCAAAAAGTGGGAAATGTACTGAAAAATTGGACTGCTCGGATAGGGTGTACTGTCAAGACAGCCGTGGCAGTCATTTGAATGACTGTGTTTCATTCTTAAATGAAAATAATAAACTCCTAATTTAAAAAAAAAAATATTCATAGGTTTTTTTTTTTTTTTTTTTTTTCTTCTTACGAGTCGAAAGGGGCTTTGTCCCTGAGGGACTATTGTTTTCTTCCGTTTTGGGATTTTGTGTCGAATCACTCTGAATGTTCGTTTCACTTTTCAAACTGTTGCCACCAAATATTATCGTCCTGTGTTATATTTGAAGAAATTTAATAATGAATTATCTGCATAAATGTATGTATGTTTCTCGCATTGTGATAAAACAACGAACGGTACCTGGAGACGTCCAGTTTTGAATGACGTAATCCTACTGCGAATATGGGCATCTGGAAGCCCAAATTTGAAATTTTGGAATTTGTTTTATGATCGATTTCATGTTTTGTAAAACTTTAACGAATTTTTGATTAACAAAACTGAAGAATTTCAAAGCGGGCAATAGCAACGTTGTACAGAAAAAAACATTTTTATCTCCAACGCGCGAGACTGTGCATCGGAAATTCTAAAGATATGCTCATTTAAAAATTATTTTCGATATTGCTGTTGAGCTGCATTTTATGGTTTAAGTGCGAAGAACATTATATTTAATAAATAAAGGTAACACACAAAATGTTTAAAAAAAAGCGCCTTTGGACGTAATTTAAAAACTGAAACCTTCCAGATTTTTTTTCTTTTATTTCTTATTTGTTATTTTAATAGCCGATTTAAATTTCAAAAGTTAGACCCCCAAACTTTTGTTAAGGGCATGTGGAGAGAAGAGAAAAAATACCTTACAAACACAATCATTTATAACATATTTGAGCCGTCTTATTATTATGAATCTCTGGGCAAACGCATGTGTTGGAGTTCCTGTGACAACCACTCACATAAATAAAATGCAATTTTTTTATAATAGTAAACATACATTAATTTTACAAGCACTTTTACAAAACAAAATTGATATAAAAGCATAAACATAGATTAGATGGTACAGTAAAACTTCTACGAAACTCATTTCACAACAAACATCTGCTGCATTTCTTATCAGATAATTACTTTTTAATTATTTTGAAGTTGATGTTCTTCAGGATGTCGTTTCCCATGCACATGAGTGAAAGCCAGTAAGCACATGCTTGAAAGAGTAAACGCTGCGTATCCAATTCGAAGGTACCGCATAATACTCACGTAAATAATGTTTAACAGTTGTTATTGTTAAGTACTTGAGAGAAACAAGAGAAACATCGATAATTTTCATAATCATGATTATGGGAACGCCACTTACGATGAATTCATATTTACTTCAACACAAAATAATGACGGCCATCTGCCATTACTTTCTTTTCATTATTTCCTGGTCACTGGAAAATCGTTCTAGGAAAGGTGTATAAATTTTTCACTGCAGTTAGGAAAAAGAATAAAGCGCAGGAAAACATTAGGAAGCATATTAAAACACTGAATATCAGAGGTAATTTAAGCTATTGTACCTGATACAGAATGATAAAAGAGCGTAAATCTAGAATACAAATATTCTAAGCAAACGTAATATGATAAAATAGTATTAAGATTTATTATATAAAGGGGAATGTAATTAAGATATAAGAAAATAGTAATAAGATTTAATCAAAATCGTAAAAACAACCTTGTATTTAGCGTAAATATAATGAAACACTCAATCGATTTCGAGGGCAGCTAAAGGTCCCTCCTCATCAGTAGAAAGAAATACCAAGAAAGAAGAAAATATAGGAGAAGGAGTCTCAGAAAACACGTGGTCCTTATCAGCATGCACGTGTTTAACTGGATTTTTAATCAGAGTTCATGGCGCCTACTTTTGAGCCAGGCTATCTGATAAGCATAAGGACAAGAGAATTAGTGAAGTTAAATAGGGAGCGAGGGAAATACCAGTCAGTGGTTGCTTTCCATTTTGAAGTTCAATTTTGAGCGTGAAGGTGCATTGCCCCCGTCCCATTTTAACTACTTCGTAATTTTTCTTGTCCTTTATGCTT